GCTTCGATCACGGGATATTCGATGGCCACAACCTATCTATCACCTCCTTGAATGACAAGACTTTCTTAGGAAATTCCGCGATCCAGACCTCTTTATTTCTCCCTAGTCAGACATGAATTCTCAGGGGTGTATTATACCCTCTGGAATGCCCGGATATTTTCCTGCCGTTATGTCCTTAATTAGCCGATGAAGCCGCTCTGGCCAGTCCCCCGAGCCCACTCTTACTGAACATCAGCAACGACCAGTGGCTCTGGGTGAGTCTAATATTGGCTCAAGTTCCTGCGATCAGTTGTTTCGTTAAACGTTTAGCCGGGGAAAGCTAAGGAATGAGCGTCGCAAAATATCAGAATGTGCCCTCAGGTCCAAATCTCTGCTCAACTCCGATTCCGGGATGAAATGATCGATTTTTTTCGTTGACAATCGTGAAGGAAGGGAAATATTCGGAAAACCGATGAGACCGGAGCGAGGAACCACGGAAGTGCAGCAATGCCTCGCGATAGTTAAACATAGAGCGTCATGTCCGAAATCTGAGCGTACGATCAGAAGCAACAGAGTTCATCGATGATACTGCATAAACAGTGTCGAATTCTCCACCAGGGCTGACAGAGAAGGGTTGATGGTCAAGTCCTGGTAAGCCGCGCGCGTTTCCTGCAAGTCTCGGCGAACTGTCCGCCACTTCATCGGATTATGCATAATTTAAGCTCTCGCGCTGAGAATTTGCCGCGCGCGAAATTCCTCGAATCCAGATCCAGGTTGCGACATCTCCGAAGGACAGGTGGCCGACGTGTCGAAGCGGTCCGCATATCGAGAGCGGAGTCAATTTGACTACATTGACGTTGTCTCGTGCAACGCGTCCGCTTCGTCAAATCCCCCCTATCATATATGAATTATTTTCATCATCAGCTCCCAGGGTTCCCCAGAGCGCGAAGGGCGTTCGAGACAATTCTCCAAGCTCTAACCCGTATTATCCAGGACGCTCTGAATTTTCTCACAGAGAGTTTTTCTCTCTGATTGCTCTTTGTAGGAGGGAATCCTCTCGACGGCCCGGCAGGTTGTAGAATCTCTCTTCTCTCAGGGCATTCAAAGTCGCAAAGGAGGCGTTGGACGTGACAGAGAGGTCCCGATTGCTATCTCCACGCCCTTCCCAATGCTATCCCGCCTTCAATTCTCGATTAATTTCCTCTTTCCTCTCTGGGCGCAGCTCACGTTTGAAGCTCGAAAGAGACTCCAGGAACCTAGCTTGTCGCAAGAACGATTTAGTGGCTGAGTGGTTATGACTGGATGAAACCTCTCCATCACTGCCTCGACTCAGCTCACACCGAGCTCTCCGAACGTAAACGTCACCGTATTTCTCCCGCCACTCGTTATCATGGCTCCTCATTGTCGAATCACGCTGACGGAGGGCGTGGGCGGGGATGTTCTCTCCGAGCGAAAGGAAACCAAGTGAGGGAGCGGAAAAAGAACAATGATCGGATGAGTCCGTTTTGGACGTGAAAGTTTTTTCCTGTCTCGCAACGGATTTCGGAAGCAGCGAGGAGCGCTACTTGCTCCCGGAATCAAACTATGGTGAGATTGAATTCAGATGCTCGGTGGAATGAAATCTGCATGCGATCCATGGAAAACTAATCTTGGAACAAAATAAACAGTGTTGGAAGTGATGAGTCGAGGAACGTGGTTCGGACCCGACAATGAATTCATCCATTCTTCCTCTCACCGTCAAACCCATGTGTCTTTAATTATTCCCCCACTCCCAATCGAATGATTTTCACCTGCTTCGATACACCCACCCGAGATGGACCAATCAATCCGAGGGTCCTTTGATGGCTCATGAGAGCAGGGGAATCCCGAGAGTTCGGCTCGATTTCGCTCCTTCAGAATTATGAATTCTGTGTACACATAGCGACTAATGACGGCCGGGGGCACGTTCCCGAATTCGAACCATGATTTACTCAACGGACCCCATCGGAACAACGACCTCTGTGTTTACCTTGGAGCCGGCATAATCCTCGGATGGAATCGTTTCGCCAAGTGCATGGCTCCTGCATGCAAATGTCGGGTGAAATGTTCACTGGTTATCGATGGAATCATCACAACTTGCACAAAATATCCAGTTGTTCAAGACCTCTTTTGAAACAATCCGCCCTTCCACTCCGAAGCCTCAGTGGCCCGATTATTCCACGTGATTTCTTGGTTCCCCGGAGCACTGCACTTCCGAGAACTCTCCGAGAGACCCCGTTCCGAAGACCGCACACGATCAGGGGTGATTTTAACCGGAAGCCTCGTCCCAAGGTAGGGCGAGAAGGGACATTCAGGCCACTTGTCCCCAACAGTTTGGAACAGCTGTTCAGCTTAAGAGTTCGGCGAAAAATGCTCCCGTTGGAATTCTGTTCTCTTTATCCGGGAAAAACCTTTCTGAGCGAATCATATCTACTGCGTGCTCCGCTTCCTCACGGCACATACTCCATTTCTCCGCAAGTTTTCACAACGCGCACTTGACGAACGACACCATGCGCCACCCGTTGCCGCCCGGACGGCATCAAAGTAAGAAAACACCGGAATTCGTCACCGCAGCCCACGTACGTATGTGGGAGCCTCCTGAGACAAACTCCGTCGCCACAGCTTCCGAGCTGTATCGGTGCGCTCGACCGGACTCGACTGAACTCGAGTTGCAACCGTTTCCAGCTAGTCTCGCTGGAAGGGGGTCGATCCGTTGGAGGTGCTGTGGCAGAGTTCAGAATCAATACACACGCGGGCTCTGAGAAGACCTGTCGAAGGCCTGTTAATTCGAGATCTATATTTGTCTCGGCGAGAAAGGGCAGTTCTCCCTCCCGCCGATATAAATAATATTCGTCGTCGTGAGGCCGTCCTAGGAATTCGCAATTACACCCTGCGAGACCCGGAGCAGACCTACCGGACTTTTCCGTGGAACGGGGAGGGCTGCACGTGCGTCTAGTCCTTAGACGGCGAGAGTTTCCGCACGTGACACGACCCTGTGGGCGAACCTCCTAACCGCATACTCCGCTCCAAGGCGATCGAAGGCACAATCGACTCCGAACACCGTTCGATCAAGAGAACACACGACCAAAAGGAGCATCGGATCGGAACTATCCGCAGTTTTCGACAAATTGTGTGCCTGTAAGAGAGACGGTTGGATCTTGCGACCGAATTCCCGCGTCGTCGGTCCAACTGTGCATTAGTTCCCCTCTAATTTTCGTCGGCTAGTTAGGTTTGTTCGCATTGCACTTCGCTAGGCCCGTGTGAAAGTCGTCATGGACCCGGATGCTAGCAACAGCTCCGCACCTTCGGACCGATGGCAGAGGAGACGAACCAGAACAAGCAAAGCACTCGAAATACCGTACATTCCTCCCGGGGCGTGAAAGATGCACGTGCAAGCCCGAGTCACCGCTGCCGTGCCAGCAGCGCCGCCGTCCTCCTCGTTGGTCGAGCTCCGCTGGGAGCAGTTTCACGTCAAAACGCGGAACGTTCGGGGGAAAAAATTCAATGACGACAACGCTGACGACGGCGAGTATTCTTCTGGGGCGGAAACTGCGAACGGCCCACGCACGAAAATCGGAGTTGCCTCCTGAACTGGGATTGCGACAGCGCGTATGTCTGGCGAAGAGAGGGGCGAAGCCGGTCGGACAAATATTCTGGAGGAATTTCATCTCGAACGTGCCTGATGCCTCGACAGTCGCGCACGCTCGCGGGGATATGCGTGTTCATATGTACGAAGAGAAGGCAGCGTATGTACAACATGGCTCAGAATAGGAAAGTTTCTGTCGGGACGCTGAGATTGCGGAAGCCGCCAGGATACGTTCCAACAGCGACCTTTGCGAACGTCTGCCCCGGTGTGCATCTGTCGTTGTCGTCATTGTCTGAATGAGAGCGTTCGGGACAGGTGCACAAGCGTGTTTGTGAAAGGAATCACTCTCGAATCGAGGGGAGCGTGCGAAGGCGCGGCGTGACGGGCGCGATAACGAAAGGCGCTGTTGAGCGAAGCACTTTTTCGATAGAGTACAATAACGCCGTTGGGCAAACACTGTCTTATACAGTTTGTTTACCGAGAGACGACAGCTCGCAAATACAACACTAACTCGATCGAGCCAACGAGCCGACCCGGGGCGACGCGAGCCTGGATCTTCGATGAGTTCTCGATCGCTGAACTCGGAAGCGGGGTGTGGATTGATTCCGTTTAAACGTGGCACGGCAATGATTTCCGAAAGCAATTACTGCAGGTGCTGACCCGTGGAACGGTAGGCCGTGACAATTGGATCTGTGTGAAGGGGCACCTGTTGCAGCTCGGAGCCGGTTCGGCGGATTTTCGAATGGCACGCACATTCGTATGTACTGATTTAGTGAGTACGCGTGCCGCGTGAGTACGTTCCCAAGGGGAATGTCATATTCTGAAACCGAGGCACGCGCGCCAAATCGCTCTCGAGGAACGAGTCAAACCGCGGGACCTGGTC